CCCCTTGGTCAACAGAAGTTTCTGGACACTTCTGCCTCCAGCCCCTGCTAGAACAGCTGGGAAGGGTTAAATTGCTGCTCTGCTGCAGGATGTGGCTGATGTGATGCTCACATCCTTCACTCATCCTCTCTCCCCCGGGCTCTCCTGCCTGGGAGCATCCCACACTACCAGGCCACACTCCACACCTCCTCCCAGTGCAGATTTCCATCTCCCAGTGCTCCCAGATTGCTCCCAGGAACCTCAGGCAGAAGGATCAGCCCCTCCCAGCACTCACCTGCTCAGCAAAGTCCTTCTCCAGGGCCTCATAGGCTGTGTAGGTTGTGTTTCCTCCCCATTTTTCCTCTCGCAGGACCACAAACTCTGGGACAAAACAGGTTTTAAAGCTCAGATTAACTCAGGCTATGATAAACCAAGTACCCCACCCTGCTCAAGAACAGGGGCTGGGCAGGTGGCACTCAGGGGCAGCCTTGTTTCAGGGGACACACTCCTGTCCCCTCCTCGAATCCACTCCCCAGCGTGGCCAGCCCCTCACCTGACTTGAGGGGGAAGAGCACGTGCTTGATGAAGGAGAGGACACCGTTGTTCTCCACGTTCCCTGGCTCACAGAAAGCCTTCTTCAGCTTCTTCTTCACGTCCTCCTTGCGGTCCAGAAGATCAATCTTGGAGTCCTGCAGCAAGAGATTTCCTCAGCCTTTCACCCAAGCTTTTGCCCGGGAAACTCATGCTGGAGTTGCTGCACATCCTCAGAACCCCGTGTGAGTGGGGAGGGAGAGCTCACCTTCCCTGGGGTGGTTCCCTCTCAGTCCCCAACCACCAAACTGTCCCCCCAGAGCCCCCTGAGCACAGCCAGATCCAGGACCAACCTCTTCTGACGAGCTCATTTTGCTGCCTGTCAGCCCAGGAACCATGGGGTTCATCAAATGGACACGCTTGGCATAGCCCAGGGAAGGGAGGTACTGGGAAAAACACAAGGAGGCAAGTCAGAAACAAGCCTCATTTAGCTTTAACTCACAATCCCTGCTTGCTCCTGGCTCCAGGTAACTTTGGGATCTGGGCTAACAGCACCCAGCAAGGGCAGAGTCAGAGCCAGGGATGTGTGGCTGCACAGAGCACGGGAGCAGCAGCAGCACACAGAGCTGTGACATCAACCAAAATCCCACACATTTCTCCCAGTGGATTTAGGAGTGGCCAAGCCCTCCCTCAGACCCCAGTCTGGCAGCAATCCCCCCATTCCTGACCTTCTCTGCGAAGGTGAAGATCTTCCTCTGATCCACCCCTCCAAACTGCGCGTCCACCTTGAGATATTCCTCATCCAACGCCTGTGGAGAGACACAGAGCCTTGAGGCCGGACCCAGAGCAGTCCTGGCCTGTCCCTCAGCTCCTCCTGGGGCAGGGAAGGCCGGGAACATTCCAGACTGTTTGCTGGAACAGCAGCTCCGTGCTCAGGCCACGCTTTGTGTGACATCGGGGTGGACAACAACCACCGTGATGCTCGCCCCAAACACGCCCTGGCTCTGCCAGCACCTCCCTGGGCCCCACACCCGCCTCACCTGCAGGCCTGGGTACAGCAAACCACTGAGCAAGGGATGCTCCACCTGCTTCACCACCTCCGCCCCCGCCTTCTTGGCGTCGTGCTGCGTCACCACCGAGGACAGGCGGTACACGTCCAGCGTGTACTCCCTGCGGGGACAGCTCTGTCACCAGGGGCAGGGGACAGCTCTGACACCAGGGGCACGGGGACAGCTCTGACACCAGGGGCAGGGGACAGCTCTGTCACCATGGGCACAGCTGTGTCACCATGGGCACGGGGACAGCTCTGACACCATGGGCAGGGGACAGCTCTGTCACCAGGGGCAGGGGGACAACTTTGACACCAGGGGCACGGGGACAGCAGGGAGACAAAACAATTCCTGCCCTAGCTGGGGATCAAGGAGAAATGATCCAAACCTCAGGCCCAAGAGCACAAACAACGTGGGTTGAAGAAGGATGGGACTCTATGGGCTGGAGCTGTAATGTGACAATTAACTCCAATATGCAAATGAACCAAAAGTTATAAAAGTGAGAGACCCTGTGACCAGGTGTCCATTTTGTGGCCCTTTTGCTTCATCTTGGGTGTAGCCCTGGCTGGGCTCTTGTGCTGCCCAAGGTGGATCTATTGAGGCCTTTAATAAATGCTTACTTTAGGGAAAACACTGTATTATATATAATAAAATTAGATACATATATATGTATATGTATATGTATATATATGTATGTATGTATGTATATGTATATGTATATATATGTATATATATGTGTATGTATGTTGAAGTATATATATGTATATATAGGTATATATATTGAATATATATGTATATATATTGAATATATATAAAAATATACATATGTATATACATTGAATATACACAATATATACATATATGTATATTCTATATAAAATATATAGTACATACATTATAATAACGCTAATTATATTTATATCATATATAAATATATGACAATAATATTCAATATATATACACCTATGTATATATTGAATATATACTATATATACATATATATGTATATTCTATATAAAATATAGAATATAATAATGATAATCATTATATTTATATTAGATTAAAATATATTATGATAATAATATAAAAATACACACATATATTGAATATATATTATGTATACATATACATGTATATTCTATATAAAATATAGATCATATATTCTATATAATATATGATAACAATGATTAATTATAATTACAAATATATAATATAATAACATATAATGATAAATACTTATATATAGATAATATATATATGTATAAAAATATATATACAACATGAGATACTTCTAATATATGTATAAAAATATATATACAATATGAGATACTTCTAATATATGTATAAAAATATATATACAAAATGAGATACTTCTAATATATGTATAAAAATATATATACAACATGAGATACTTCTAATATATGTATAAAAATATATATACAATATGAAATACTTCTAATATTGTATATATTTTAAAATATATATGGTATATATATTTTTATATTTTTAATATATATCGTATATATATTTTATATTTCCTTTAACTGCACCTCGCCTGTGCTGTAGCTCAGCCTCCCCGGCTGCCCAGGACTCACTTGCTGAGCTGGTAGTCGGTGCCCCTGACGAATTTGAGCTTCTCCAGGGGCACGCCGATGCTCTCCAGCATGGCTTTGATGACGTGCTCGTAGTAACGGGTGCGCAGCTCCAGCAGCTCCCACGGAGCCTTCATGTTGTCCAGGTAAGCGTGGAGGTCAGCGAAGAGGATTGTCACCTAGGACAGGGGACAGCGAGTCAGGGACGCCGTCCCCGCTCCCTGCAGCTGCCACCCACAGGGTTGGCAGTGCCCACCTCGCAGCCAGCCTTGAGGAAATCGGCGATTTTGGACATGGGCACGAAATAAGCCACGTGTGGCTTGCCCGTGGTGGCCGTGCCCCAGTAGATCTTCAGCTCCCGTTCCTGCAGGATGGCCATGAGCTTCTCCTCGCCCAGCACCTCCTGCCGGGGCACAGAACAAACACACCGAGCTGGCGGAACACAGCGGCAAATCCCGCGGGGTGCCCGGCTTCCCGCACCGTGTATCCCGGTACTGACCCCCGGGCTGGGATCCCCCCAGTGCCGGCCTCGCCATGCCCCGATCCCGTCCCGTTCCTCCCCGTTCCTGCCCCGTTAATCCTGTCGCACCCCCCGGTACCCGCACCCCATCTGTCCTCAATCCAGCCTCAGCCAACCCTCCCAGCCCCAGTTCCTCCACCCGACCCCGAGTGCTGATCCCCGGGCTCGGATCTTCCCCATGCCCTGATCCTGCCCCGTTCCTGTCCCGTTCCTGCCCCGTTCTCGGACCCCAACCCCGCCGCATCCCCCCGGTACCCGCACCCCATCCTGCCCCCGATCCAGCCTCAGCCAACCCTCCCAGCCCCAATTCCTCCGCCTGACCCCGAATGCTGACCAGAGTGCTGATCCCCGGGCTCGGATCCCCCCATGCCGCCCCGTTCCTGCCCCGTTCCCGTTCCCGTTCCCCAACCCCGCCGCATCCCCCCGGTACCCGCACCCCATCTGTCCTCGATCCAGCCTCAGCCAACCCTCCCAGCCCCAATTCCTCCGCCTGACCCCGAATGCTGACCAGAGTGCTGATCCCCGGGCTCGGATCCCCCCATGCCGCCCCGTTCCTGCCCCGTTCCCGTTCCCGGACCCCAACCCCGCCGCATCCCCCCGGTACCCGCACCCCATCCTGCCCCCGCCTCGGTCCCGGCCCCGATCCGGCTTCAGCCAACCCTCCCAGCCCCAATTCCTCCGCCCTACCCCGACACAGCCCCGCTGGTCCCTGACATCCCTCCCGGTGCCGCCGCTCTCCCCGCGGCCCAGCCCCGGTGCCATCCACCTCCCGGTACCTGCAGGTTCCGCGTGATGAGCTGGTACTTCTCCTGCGGGCCGGGCGCGGGCTCCATGGCGGCGGCTGCAGGGCAGGACACACTGTTACCAGCGCTCCGGTTCCCCGGTTCCCCCCGGTTCCCCCCGGTTCCCCCCGGTTCTCCCGGTCCCACCGACCCGCCCCGGGTTGCATCAGCCCCACTCGGCGCTCCACTGCCACACCTGAGCCTGCCGAGCGCCGAGCTGCCGATGCAACGAGCGGGAGGAAGAGGGGGGCGCGCTCCTCCAATCAGAGAGCGTCCCGCGCGGCGAGGAGCCCGCGCTCCGCCAATCAGAGGGCGCCTCACGGCCGCGGGGGCGTGGCCTCGGCGCCGTTAAGATGGCGGCGGGTGAGCGCTTTCCCGCCAGGCCGGGCCGCGGCCGCTGCTTTCCCTCAGCGCAGTTCAATTCCCCCTCGTTTATTCTGGGGCGGTTTTACCCCTTTTTTTTTTTTTCCGCGGCTCGGGGAGCTCCCCGTGTTGGGGTGGGCCGGGAGGAGGAGCCGCGGGCGGGGCGGGTTTGGCCCCGCCTTGGGGCGGTGCCGTTGAGGCGCCGGTTGGGCGGTGCTCACTGAGGGACGGGCGGGTCCCTGACGGAGGGAGCGGGGCCTTAGAGCCTCCTGAGGGTTTTATCTGCGCAGGGAAAGGCTCCAGGGTGAGCCAAGTGTGGGATTTTGGTGCCTGAAGGGGCTCAGAGAGAGCTGGGAAGCGACATGGGATAAGGGCCAGGGGGGACAGGACACACTGGGAAAAATTCCTCTCTGTGAGGTCTTGGCACAGATTGCTCAGAGAAGTTGATGCCTTGTGAAGGCTGACCAAAAAGAGACTAGGTAGAATTAAAGAATAAAATAGGGATTTATTAAAAGGTCCCAATGGATCCACCTTGGGCAGCACAAGGCAGTGCTACACCCAAGATGAAGGATTTTGTGTGTCTCAATGACTAATTCCCTGACAGGGTTCCTCTTCCTTTGCACAGTTTTTCCCAACCCAAAACAGGATTTTTTTAAAAAATGTGTTTATTTGTATCTCTGAAGGGTGGAAGTGGGGGTTGAGACACTTGCAGGTTTTATTTAATGCCCTCAGGCGTGTTCTGCAGTTTAAGGCTGTGATTTGGGGTTCCTGGGGTCTGCTGTGGGGAACTGGCAGCAGTTTGGCAGGAGAGGGCACAGCCTGAGGAGTTTCCAATCATTGGGGTTTCCACTGCTTGAGGGAGCACTCAGGGATGAAGGATTGGTTGGCACCTAAACCAGTCAAGAACAGATTGATGGCTTTGTTAAATTCCAGCATTTTGGCTGAGCTCCTTTCACTGAGGATGTTGCTTTTGCTGGCAGGTTGGAGCTGACTCCTGCTGATTCCTCCTCTGGAAGGGCCGAGCAAAGGCCAGCAGCAGCAGATGAGCCTGTAGAGCTGGAAGCAGAGCTGCAGGGAGCCATGGCAAACAGCTGCCCTCCTTCCCCTGGGCTGGCTCAGGGCTTCAGGCAGGAGCCAGCCCCCAGGGCCAAGAGGCTCTCGGATTCCACGGCGCAGGTGCAGGCCCTGCAGTCAGCCAAGAAAGCCTGTGTGCTGAGCCACGACTGCAGCACTCCAAATCCAGCAGGGAATGCTCTCTTCCCTTCCCCAGGCTCTGGCTGCTCCCTTTTCCTGGATGAGAGTGGGCAGGATGAGCTCGGGGCCAGTTTTTCCCTCTCCAAATACGACGACGTGGCCATTTCCCTGGACATCAGCCACTGCTTCGACGACAGCGAGCTGGACGACTCCCTGCTGGAGCTGTCAGGCAGCGAGAAAGGGAATTCTCCCTTCGATTACACCGAGGAAGAGATCCAGGAGATCTTGGCAGATGATTCCCTGGAAGCTGAGCAGCAGCACCTCTCTGGTGAGAGCCACCTGAGCCAAAGTGAGAGTGGAAAGAGCGAGCTGGCCGACAGCAGCGGCTGCGCCGCGGGGACGTCGCTCAGCGAGGCGGCCTCAGGGCTCACAGAGGAGGCAAAGGAGCCCCAGGAGCATCCCTCAGGCAGCTCTGGGGGTGGTGGTGGCTTTTTGGGTGGCAGTGCTGCTCTGGATGGGACCCAGAAGCTGCAGCAGGAGCTGGACCTCGACCTGCAGGAGCTGCTGAGCCTGAGCCTGTTCGCCGCCGCCTGCGCCGATGAAGCTCTGGAGGAAAGCAACCTGGAAAGAGAAACTTTGGATGCCATGATAGATGATTGCTTGGGATATTCCACAGCTGCTGGGAGCTGCATTCCTGAAAAGCCCTCAGAAAGGGTGATGCCTAAAAGCCAGGAAAGCCTGGCTCAGGATGGCCTGGGAAAATCCGTGCCCTCATCCGAGTGTGGCACAGCAGATGAGAGTCCAGCATCTGTGTTGCCACCCAAGAAAGAATTTTCCAAAGCAACAACGAGCTGTTTGTCAAAGAAATCAGGCTCTCCAGAGGATGCTGAAGGGGAATCCACAGGAGCTGAGCAGCCACCAGGCAGCACTGAAGTAAACTCACACCTTCATTCTTGGAACTTGAATGTTTTTAATCCCATCCCTTTGGATTTGTCCACGTGCACACAAGTGCTGTGTTTATACAGGGGAGGTTTTCCAAGTGGATTTTTATAAAAGTCTATAAGCAAAACTTACATGGAAAAGTCTTATTACATGTTAATCCCCTTTTTCCTTCCCTTTCCAGTTAAGGGACACAGCTGTAGGCCAGAGTGGGCAGGAAGAGCCACCCGGCAGGAAGAAAAGAGCCAAAGTAATTCCTGTCCCACGGGAAGAGGAAGAAAGGTAATTTCTTAGGAAATCTGCACTTCAAAAAGCATCCCAGCTGTTTCCTCCACCACTTTGTTGGCCGTGCCTTGCTGGGTTTATTTCTATTTTTAAATTAATTTGCATGGAAATAGCGGGGAAACAATAAATATTTCACCCTGTAAGATACTGAAAGAGGGGAAAGAACATCGGGAAATGGGAAAGGAGGTGGGTCAGGCAGTTTTGGGCCGTGGAGGAGGGAATGTTTGTGCCTCCCTGGCTCTGGCTGCTCCTCCCGGAGCCTTCCCTGCAGGTGGCAGCAGCAGAGCGGGTCGGGATGTTGCTCCTGCTCTTCCTACTCTTGGAGGCGGCACATCGGGGCTTTCCTCCTCATTCTTTTGAGTGAAAAAGAGATTTTTCTGCTTCTGAGAGCTCCCTGCGGGTTCCCGTTGTGGTCAGCAGGGCCGTGACCGGCTGGGTGGCTCAGCTGCTTTGCTCTCGGCGTGATTGATCTTTGGCAGCTTTACTCAAATAAATACTTTCATTTTTTCTGTCCCAGAACGGTGCTACAAGAATGTCACATCTGCCATAGTTCTGCGCAGCTCTTTGCCCTCTCTGTCAACTGTAACCTAATTTAACAAATAACCTAAAAAAACCCCAAAAAACCCCACAATTTATTGTTTTCCAGGCCAAAACAACGGAGCTGCATTTCAGAAGCACAGCCTGAACGAAAGAGACGTCTCTGTCCAGGCTGTGCCAGTCCAAGTGAGGAAAGGTGTGGCTACTACCTCAGGTAACCCCCAGGTGGGATAGGATGAGGATGGTGGGGAGGGAAAAATTTATCTCCTGGCTGGACTTGAATTCTTTGTTTGGAGTGTGTTTGTCTTCAGAGGGGAATAAAAAGTGCCTGTGACACTTTTGTGCACTGCCATGCACAAAATTCCTGCACAGGAATCAGCCTGGCTCCAGGGCTGGCTCAGAGGAGTTTTACAGATACCTGGGAAATGCTGTGAAGGTATGGAAAATCAGGAATGGTACCAAAGCAGGTTTGTATTCCCTAGGAAAAGCAGAGCTGAGCTTTGCCTTGTTCTGTTGGGGATTAACTTGGTCTGGTCAGTTCACAACTATCCCAGAATCATCAAAATTGGAAAACACCTCCAAGAACATCGAGTTCCCACCTTATCACTAGCCCAGAGCACTGAGTGCCACCTCCAGGACTCCTCCACCTCCCTGAAACTGTGAACTCACACTGGGGGAATTGAGCTCAGGTGTTGAGATTTGGGCTCAGACTGGGGGAACTGAGCTCAAGTGCTGAGATGTAGACTCAGACTGGGAATCTCGAGCTCAAGTGCTGAGATTTGGGGTTATTTTTGACACCTTCTCTGTGTTGCCTCAGTGGTGTCATCCAAGAGCCAGCGGCTGTGGGGGTGTGGAAAGGAAGGTGTTGCAAAGAAGTTTGGATTTCAGCTCATGGGGGGCGGGGGTGGTGCCAGATCTTTTCTGAGAGTCTAATATAGTTTGGATTTTAAAAACAATGACTCCCCCCTGGTAAGATCTCCCCACTTTCTCAGTACTAATCCCAGGGGACTATCTCTAGGGATATTATTGCTACAACACCCACAGGAGAATGTATACTCCGTATTTTAACAGTTATGAGCAGAAATTTAAAAAAAAACCCAAAAAACACCAGGGTGAGGGTTTTCCAGGTGCCTTCTGTGCCTTTGTGGTCACCAGAAACTGAGGCCTTGTGAAGGCTGACCTAGAACAGAGGCTGGACAGAGTTAAAGAATAAAGTAGGGATTTATTAAAGGCCTCAATGGCACTTTGGGCAGCACAAGAGCCCAAAATAGACACAAAATGCAAAATGGACACCCAGTCATAGGGTCTCTCACTTTTATAAGTTCTGCTCCATTTCCATATTGGAATTAATTATCCAATTATAACTTTGGGTTATGAAGTCCCATCCTGCTTTTTTTTCTCTATTCAGCCCACGTTGTTTCTCTTGGGCCTGAAATTCGGATCAGTTGTCCTTGGTCCCCAGCTGGAGAAGGAATTGTTCTGTCTCCTACTCTGTGAAGAGAACTCAACCATCCCCTAATAAGGAGCCCAGAAGTGCACACTAAAGCAGCACAGAGTCTGAAAAACAGAAAAGCTCAAACCTGAGGCATCAGACTGGGATATTCTGAGAGGCAAAATATTCTGGTAGCTTCCAGCCAGGGCTGCCTGTAGTTATTTGGGTGCAATAATTGCCATTTCTTGCGAGGCACAAGAAGCTGACAGTTGTTTGTGTGGAGCCTGCACTTAGGCAGGCAGCAGGAACAGCTGCATCGCCACAGGGCTGCTTCCAGAGGATGAATCCAGCATAAGTAATGCAGAGGGGACATGCAGGGAGAGCTAAAGTGGCCTGTTTTCTCTTGCTTTCAAAATTAAAAATGCAAGATGTATGTCGTGAGTCACAAAAAATCAGGCGAGGAGCTCTAAACGAGCGAGGCTGCCGAGTGAAATCGAGCTCTCTTTTGCTGGGGGAGAACATTGTCTGTGATGCACACAATTTGATTTTCTTATTAGTGCAAACCTTGCTTCTTGCAAATAGCTGTAGGCTTGGAATTCAGCCCGACAGACAGCGTGGGCTGTGCCACTTGTCCCAGGTGAGAGGCTGCTGGGTGGGCTGGCAGTGCCCTGGGTGCTGTGCCCCTGCACCTGGAGCTGCAGAGCTGTCCTGGCTGTGGCATCTGCATAGGAAATGCTGAGTGATCCCAAGGAATTCAGGAAGGAAAATCAGCAGGTTTAGAGCCAGCAAGGGAATTCCTTCTGGGAAGCAGTAACTAATATATTGCTGCTACAAATCTTCGGCTCTGTTTTGAGATGCAAATCTCCTGGCATTTGTCTCAGGGTAATGTTTGCTTTGCTATCCCATCTTTTACGTAATCTGTCTGTTCTTCCTTGGATCCTGGCTCTTGCTGCTGTGCTGTCTGAGGGAATTCCAAGGAGAGATTTTGTCTTTTCCCTCATCTGTACGGTGCCTTGCACTTGCAGGAAATAGAATTTTCATATATATAAATACAACTTCCATATATGTCAAATCCATTTTTCATATATATACCTTTTATATCTGCATATATCTCATACATATTCTCATATTGGGTGATTGAGTGCTAAAAGTCACACCGAGTAGTTGGAAAAAAAATCCTTTTATATTCAGAATAAACTTCTCACACTGAGCTATCCCCAGTGTGTTGGGAGACAACCCTGTGGCTCGACTTGTGCTTCCTCTCATTCTGCTTTCTAGATGCTGTTAAATCCTAATATATTCATTTATTTGCAGCTTCCCCTAAGAATTTAAATGCTGCTGAGGCTGTGCTGGAGCAGATGTAAAAATGAGCTGTGATTTGAGCATCTGCTTGGCAATGGGGGGCTGATAATTGACCACACAAGATTTCTGCCAGCTGACCAATTGTCAGTGTTTGCACTTTGTTATTGTCCTTTATCCAGCAGTAAATGGAATTATTTCCTTCCTGATGAGATCCTCCTTGGCAATTCTGGGGCTGGATCAGCTACACAAATAATGAGGCTCCTAAAACTCTGTTATTTGGAGCAGAATCACAGAATGGGGTGGGTTGGAAGGGATCTTAGGGATGATCCTGTTCCACCCCCTGCCATGAGCAGGGAACCTCCCACTGCTCCAGGCACCTCTGGGAAGCTGAGCTGGCTCCTCTCTGACCTCCACCCTTTTTTTTTTCCCAACCAGGACTCCATCAGGAGCTCTCCTTCAAGGCTTGGTGTGCTTGCTAGAGGTTTTTGATGCTTCCAAAAATTCTATCAGGCTTCTCACAACCTGGCAGAAACCTGATAAATTATTTCCTTGGCTCTCCCTGGAATCAAAGGGCGTGGAGGAGGAAATGCCTTATAAAGAGGCACAAATCGTCTGGTTTTACTGTAATAACAAAGATCAATATCTTAAAAAAACCAGACAGTGTGTTTAAGGTGATGGAAAGGGAGAGCAGTGTCAGGGAACAGATGGAGAAACAAATCTGTGAAATACAAATGAACTCTTTGCTAGCAGACTCTGCCTTGAAGACTCTGGTCTCTTGATTGATGCTGAGCTGGCTGAGGGGAAGAAAAAAAAACTTAATCTTGAAGCAGTTTTTACCTGCCCAAATTTATTTTGCTTGGATGGAGATTGGGCAGGGAAGGTGCAGTGCTGGAGCTGTGCTGACATAAAGGAAGAATTCCATTTAGTGGCTGAGCTCAGCAGGGAGATTTCACTTCAAAGCAAATGAAATCCACCTCCAAAGCCTAAATTTTAAGAGATGTGGGATGGGGTAAGAATTGATAAAGTGGATTTCTAAGTTTGTGGTGAGGAGAGTAAGAATTTCCCTGGGTTCACAGTGGGAAACTCCTGGTCCAGGGGCTTCTCTATTGACAAAGCTGAAATAATCAGAGCTCCTGGTTCCTAAATGAGTGGAACTTGGCTGGAAACCTCATCCCAAATCTGTAGTTTGCTCTTGACTGCTGTGGAAGGAATGAGGATGTGCCCAAGGAACTCCAAAGGTTGCAGCTGAGTTTCTCCAGCTCCCTTTCCTCAGGCCAAAAGGCCTCCGAGCCTTGGGGTGGGTGGTGAGGCACTGGGATAAGTTCCTCCAAATATTTGGTGAGATTAATCTGCCCCTGGGACTTCCCCTCCTGGAAGGAGCTGCAATCTTTTCCTGGAGTGAGTCAGGGTGCAAGTTTGTCCAAGTCCTTGTCTCTTCTCAGGGGTGAAAAGTGCACCCCTGGCAGTAGGAAATGTTCCCTCTGTTTTTATGACCCGTTTCACCTCTGACTCAGAAGGCCAAGTGAGGGAACTGAGATGTAGGAAGGCTCAAAATGTGTAAAATAAAGTTGTGATTTCTTCTACACTTATTGCAGACAATGGGAACTGCTGTGTACAGTGAGAGTTTGCCTTGGAGAACCTCCCTTCCTCCCAAACAACCCATGGATTTCTCGAGAAAAACTTGTAAAAATCCCTTCTAGAAGTATCAGTTTTTGGCAAGAAATTGTTCCTTTGGGTAAGCAGGAGCTGATCCTGCAGTTCATGAAGGAGGCTGGGATTGCTGGGGAGAGGAGCTGTGATTCACATCCACCCCATGGCTGCAGGATGGAAAATCCTTGGAGTTTGGACTTGGCAAGGACACGCTCTGTGCTGTGCTGGGAGCCCCTGGGAAGGGCAGAATTCCGGGGAATTGGCCTTTCCCTGAGCTCTGAGTGGAATCCAGAGCAAGCTGCTTTGATTGGAGCCCTTCTGCTCACTGCCTGTTCTTGCTGAGCAGTGAAAATAAAACTGTGCTGTGACAGAGGTGACAACCCCGTGCCAGGCAGATGGTCCTGCTCCAAACCAGATGTTTGGACAGTAGTTTTGCAGGAGTGACCCCCATGGTTGATTTTGCTTTAAAAAACAGATGGTTTTGCAGTTCAAAAATGTGATTTCCTGAGTTAGGCTCATCCCTGTGCATAAAGAAGATCAAAATAAGGCAGAAAAATTGTGTTTTGTTTTTTTTTTTCAAAACACAGATGGGGCAAAGCTTTGTAGCACTCTGAGGCATGCAGATAACCAAGTCCCTTGAAGTAGTTTGGGTTTTAATCTTGCTTTTCTTTGCCTAAAGTTGGTGGGGTTTTGTCTTGCTATTTCAGAACGGGCAAATGAGAGGATTTAAGGTGGGTGCAGAATTTCAGGAGGACAATTTCCTTTTTGTTTGAAGTTGAACCTTCAGCCTTTGTGGTGGGCCAGGGAGAAGGAGCTTTGCAAAGAAGAGGATGAAGCACCAGGCAGAATTCCTGAAAGGAGCTTTGATGTTCTCACTTCTCAAGGTGCCTTCATAGGATATAGTTTCACTTTGAAAAGCTCCTACCAAGAAAATCAGGTATCAGCTGCAAGCACCAAGGAAATGATTTATTTTCAGAGCTGCTGCTGCTCCAGCTTCATCCAAATGCTCTTCTCATGTTTGTTTCAACTTTTTGATCGACTTTTTTTGGCAGAAATTCCCCAAATTCCAACCCATACCCAGTGGGTGAGCAAGAACTTGGCCAAACACCACAATTTCTAGAGAATTCCTGAACACTTCCAGTGCAAGCCCATTGGATTTTGCTGCTGAGGGGTTGTGCTGGTTCATGTTCTGCTTTTAGAGGTGTTAATTGGTCTGGTTTTCAGTGGTTTGAAGTTTTATTTGTAACTTCTCCTGCAAAAGCATTTAATGAGATTTGCACTACAGTTTATAAATATTTTGCAGCTTTTAGATGTCATTTTCTTCTTTTCTGTGCTACTGAGTAACTCCAATTGAGTTGGAGGTGGATAGGTTGATCTTCTCAATGTTCTTCCCAGGGGTGCCAGCAGCGCCTTGTGACTCCTTTAGGTATTTATAAGTGGAATTTTGGAGAGCAAATTAAGTTTATTCAGGCAGCAAATCATCTCATATTTTTATCATCGCAATCTGACTATTTTTGGAGATGCTTTTGGCTCGTGTGGTCTTAAAGAAATCAAAAGTTTGGCTCAGTACTGAAGTTTTTTAACGTTGTGATTCATAGATTTTATTCTGTGGCACCCAGAGTGGGACAGGGTTTTGAAAAACAGGCAAAGTTTCTCCCTGCCCTGAATGTGCAGTGACTGAGACAGGGAGAATGGAAGTAATTTGTCCAAAGGATCAGCAGTGAAGCTTTGGAGAAGAGCCTGACTGCACAAACTCCCAACTATCCCAGAATCCAGGCAGGAAGGAACCCATGGACAGCACTTTTGGGGCTGGGGCATGGCCAGTGTCAGGATTTTGTGTTTTGTCATGTCCTTGATGCCACCAGAACCTCTCAGGTGACTTTTACCCCTGTAAATTTTATTTACAGAGAGCTTTGCATTGAGGGAGAAGGAGAAATCCTTTGGAAGCATGTGAGAGCTGTCAGCTCGTGGTGGTTCATGGCTTTTAAAGCAGTGAACCCCACAAATTAAGTTCTTTGGGAAAGAAATCCTTTACCTGTGGTGTGAGGACAATTTCACTTGATGTCCATGGAATCCCAGGATGGTTTGGGCTGAGAGGAACACAAAGATCATCTCAGTCAGGGCAGGGACATCTCCCTCTATCCCAGTTTGCTCCAATCCCTGTCCAGCCCAGCCCTGGACACTTCCAGGGATGGAAATTTCTCAGCAAGCAGCTCCTGATGATGCCAGGGAGGTGCTGATGGCACCAGGGCTGCTCCATCCCCTCGGGTCTGTTCTTTGGGAGTGTAAAGCTCTGCCATGGAGCAGCTCTGCCCTTTGGGAAGGATTTAGGGCTGCAAATTTCCTCCTTTGACACCGCAAAGGATTCACATCTGCACGCTGGGGAGAGCAGGGAGGGGCTGTGGATTAAACCTCCATGGAAGGACAGAGTGTTTTGCTGTGTGTTAGAGAGTAGCCAAGGGGCCCTGCTGCTGATTTTTGCTGTAGTAGAACCCAGTGATATCAATAAAAACCGGAATAAAACTGGCTTTGTGCAAGCCCTGCGTGAGCTCTGATGAAATGCCTCGCAATTAAAAATTTAACAGTGTTCATCAATGCATTGCAGCCAGCCAACAGCAGCTGGAAAACAATGAGACTGAAATGAAACCACTGTGTGTGGGTTGTTTTTTTTTGCTGCCTTCCTCTCAAAAATGAACCAGCTCTTGCCTGCAAGGAGGAAGAAATTACATCCTCAACTGGGAAATAGTGGAAGCTGATAAAATTCTCCCTTTGGTTTGGGAGGGTGTTTAGGTGCAGAGCAGGTCTGGATGGTATAAATAGATTTTCTTTAGCAGTTGGTGGCATTAAAGGTGAGGGTTTGGTGAGTTCAAAAGGACAAGGAAGCTGCAAAGTGACAAATGGCATCGTGGGGCTCTGTCATTATTGCCACTCAATGGCTCTGCATCCAGCGTGTCCAGATTCCGAGGAAAAAGAGGATTTTTCTGGCTGCCAGCTTTGCTGCCTCCATCTGGGAATCTGAAATCCAAGCTGTGCCTTCCTCGGCTCTGTCACTAATAATGAAGATTCTTCATTTGGAACTTACTTAACCAAAATTGAAGGAGAAACCAGCTCCTTTTTTTCCTCCAGACGTGTGGGCTGCAGCCCCACCAAGGGGGAACAGCATCATTTGAATGCCTGAGGTCAGCAGACAAATCAATAGACGCCAGATTTGTGGAGCAAACAGAAGATATTTTAGCATAGCAAGCCCGTTGATCAGGCAGCTTTTTAACAAAGGCTGGAAATGCTGATTGCATTTGGTCAGCTCTGCTTCCAGATGAGGCTGTAATAGCTCATTACAGTATTACAGTCGTTAGGATTTTTTTTTTTTCCCTGCAAATCTGGGGGAAATTACATTTGGTGGAACATATGGTGTCATCTTCATCTCCCTCCTCGGGAAGCTCGGGCCTCGCCGAGGTTTGGTGTGTTTTGCTGGGGAAAATGGATGTGCAGTTGTGACATTGGCTTTGGAGTGATGTCACCTCTCCCATCTTTGGCAAACACTGCCACCAGCAGCCTGTTCCTCTCCCTTGGCATCTCCATCACCCAGCTGAGATTGTGCTAACACTTTCCTCCGTGTAGGTGTTTCCTCTCCAAGCGGCAGGGACTCCAAATGCCTCGTGTTGCCGTTTTCCTGGGAGCAGGAGCCGGTGCCTGGTGGCCCGGGGGAGGGGGTGACAAGTGGCTGGGGCTGTGTTGTGAGTTGGAAGGACACGCTGTGCAGGATTGTTTGCTCCACACTTCCTCCCTCGGCTCCTCTTTGCTAAACTCGTGGGGGAGGAATCTATTGGTTAAATTGTACTTGTAGGCATAATATTAGTGCTGGGAAGGAGGGAGGAGAGCGGTGCTTAACTCCAAACACGCCCTGGGTGTGCTGGCAAAGGGTTTTGTTTGCAGCTCCCTGCTCCTATTGTGCCCCAAATCTCTGCTCGCTTGGTTCTTGGAAATCCATGGGATTCATCCCGAGCCAGCTGGGAGGGCTTTGCTTTCAGAGATCAGCAGGGAATCAGCCTCTCTGGGATCCCTGGCACAGCAGCCCACTCCCACTTGCTGCTTTTTAGTATTTCTTGAAACCTCCCTTTGGCAGCTCCCGCTTCCAACAATGAGTCAAAATCAGCAGTCAGGGCAAAACCACGTCGGGGGAGGTGGGTGGGCTGGAGGGTGTGTGGTGCTGTGGCCCAGCATGACTTCCCTCAGTGTGTCTTGGGTTTATTTTTGCTTGTTCTCTTGCCTTTATTGACTGTAAAACACCTCAGGAGTATCTTTTGGCAGCTGCTGATGGGAGTGAAGTCTCTGTTCTAAAGATGGGTTTAGGGTTGAGCTCACACAGTGGCTGACTCTCATGGGTTACAGTGGAATTTAATGCCCAGACAGCAGTTAAAGCTTTGATGTTTATGACCCTCACAACAGCAGCGTTTTAAGTAACTTTATTCTCCTATAACCTTTTCCTGAAGTGTGGGTTTACTCCATCACTTCAATTCAGAGTGGCTGAAAAATTTCCTTGAAGGGGATCACTTGAACTGGGTTTGCAGTCCCTGTCTGAGCTGAATTCTGCCAGCCCACAGTTGTTTCTCCTCACAAATAACATTTCTTTGCTCTCCAAGCCTGCAGTTATGGGTTATCAAATGCAGGTTATCAAAATAACCCTGGCACCTCCTGCCACATGTGAATATTGAACTCTGCCCCACACTGACACTTTAAATTTAATTCTGTTCTGCAACTGAGTGATCACATCTCTGTCAGGAAAGAAATAGCTTAAACCTGTCCCTAGGGAACAACAACTGTGGAGAAAAAAAAAAAAAAAAAAAAAAAAAAAAAAAAAAAAAGGGATATGGTCTGAATTCCCAAGGACAAGTGGCTTTAAAAACAGCCACACAACCCTCAAACCTGCCAAATTACCAGGCTGGATTTCCTCTGGAGCAGCTCTCTCAGGGCTGTCTGCCCCAGGATTAGGAGAGAGCATCTCCCTTATCGTTTTGCACATGCTGTACCATCTGTCCTAAATCTCCCTTTGCAGGGCTGTGGATTCCAAATGCTATTTCTTCCTTGGGAGATAACAGACGTGGCTGAAGAATTTTGTTAGGTAGGGCTGGGGTGCTATTTATGGTGCAAGTTTTTTTGTTTTTTTTTTGTCCTGCAGCCAGAACCAGCTCTGAACCTCCCTGGGTTTCTCCACCCAGACACTGAGAAAATATTTGATTTTGTAGATCTGTTTAGGTTTTAGGTCTGGGAAATACAAAGTCCCCCAGCTGTAGGGTGTGTGTGCTGCTCGAAGCAGGTAAATATGAAAGAATTAAATTCAGGCATTACAAGGACACAAGAGATGCCTTTAATCTTTTATTGTACATTATAAAATGTTTATTGCTCTGTCTGTATCAGAGGTGGTGACCTCTCCTTCTTGGTGATGGAAGAGTATGTTCAGGCATAGGATCCTGGAGCCACCTTTGGGGTTGGCCTGGCTGGAAGCAGCACATCTTCAGGAGGAATTCCCAGTGCCTGTTCCCCAAACCAGTTCTTTGGGAAAAACTGGTGATGGGAGGAGAGATGGCAGCTCCTCACTGCCAGGCTGTTCCTGTGCAGGGACTCCCAACCCAGGCTCCTCCAAACCATCCTCAGGCCAACCTCTGTTGGCATTTGATGGAACAAGTTGGATCCTACCTCATCCCCTAAGTGCATGTGGAGTGGTCTTGTGGAGGAGTTAAATAACTACAGATAGCCCATGGCACACTACAAAGAGTAAATCTTTTTCATGTCATGGTCCTGCATCTCCCAGCTTTCCAGAGCACCAGCAATCCCCAGGGATCCTGTCAGCTTACAGACATCCAGCATTCCTAAGAGACAGAGAGGAGAAGCCCAGCCCCTTTCCCCTCCATCTCATCCCTTTTTGGGAAGGGCTGTCTCCAGCAGACTCCTGCTGTTCCAAGGTCAGGAGAACA